ACTGGTGAAGTTGAGTCAAATGAGTTAAAATGCCATGGTTTGGTTGTTTTTTTGTTTTTTTTTTTTTTTAATATAGAAATAGAAAATCATTAAGTCCTTCTGCAAGTTTCAGCAATCAAAGCGAATAGGAAGAAGGACTCTAAGTGTTTGGGGAAGGATGCCACTGAAGTTAGTGACAAGCTGTTGAGATTGGAACTGGTAAATGTGCAATATAAGAAATAGGAAAAGGAAATATTTAGAACCAAGAGATGCCAAAACTGCAATCAGCAAATGGAAGGCCAAAACTGATGAGCAAATCTGGATGCTTTTTTTATTATTTATTTTTATAGTTTAAGCTGTGCCATGTAACCGTCTTGTTACAAGAAACAATCAATAACAGCTCCCAACCACCTCGCTGCAGTGTCGTGTACACACCTCCACCCACGTCCCCTGTGACCAGAACTCAGCTGAAGAGGTGTGTGCAATGCTGCTGGGCAAGAGGTGCCGTCCCGCTCCCGCCCGTCAGTGCCTGCGGACACAAACTCCCACGTCAAACTGAGGTTTGAAAAATCCGGATGCTTAAAGCCAGTGGGGATTTGTGATGTCAAATACACGGCAGAGATTAGAATTTTAGAGTGTGGGGGGGAACGGAAATACAAACACTAAGACTGTCTCAAAAACTGCAATACTAGAAGTGCCCAATTATACAGCGGAGAGCGATGTGCAAGAGAACAAAGTTACTGCATGAAGATGCAAGGCGAGCAGGTTGTGAAGGCGAGCCTTCCTAACTCACCAAACCCACTGCTGAGGCTGCAGGACGCAGCAGCGGGTACCGCAGCCTGCGAGGGGGCAGGGGGATGAGCACGTCGGCGATAAGCTGCGGGGGGCTGGCAGGGAGAGCAGACGAACGTCATGGCCAAACTCGCACGCACATCAGCAAAAGCCACCGAAAGCAACGCGTCGTTTGCTGCCAGTAAAGCAGGGAGACCCCGGGTGAACGTGCGAGAAGCGAAGCAGCCGGGACACACATACCTCTGTAAAGGACCCAAAGCAGTGGGAGGTGTCGATGGCATGAAACATTTCTGTTTAAGGATAGAGAATGCAAAAGAATCGCTTCATAAATTATTTTCTGTTCTGGGGGAAGAGTGAATAGTCTTGAAGGACAGGTGATGTCTCTGAAATATGCAAATAGAGCTGAGCTGGTCCAAGCAATTACCTTTCCACTGCCTGGAACTTCAGACTGAAAGGAATGACTCACGAGAAAGAACAAGAAACAAGAGATGTGCTAAAAGGTAGAAGATGACGAAGGAAGTCTGCATCAAGAGGAGAATGGAGTCAAGCATGGAAAAGTATAGTCCTGACCTCCTGCAAACAGCCGCTCTTGGGAAAAGGAACAAAACAACCTACAACACAAAACACAGTAGGACCCATGGCAACAAAGGAAGACCTAACTGCAAAGCATCCAGAAAGGCAGTTGTGATTGTTGGTTTGAGACTTCTGGGTTCAGGATAAATACAGCAAGGAGATTCCTGCAGCTTCATGGATGTAAAGGCAGTGGATCTCACCTCAATACCCTTGAGGTTATCAGCTATTTTAAAAATTGCTGAAAGTAAATGCAATATGGTCATTTCTTTCCAAGTTTTAGACAAAGCTCTGAAAGAAAAGATTCAGCACGACTGTCAGACAACCTGCTAGCAGCAAGGGTGAAGAAGGAATTAAACCACTTTGGAAATAGCCATGGAGATGAGCCAACAGATGTGCCTCCACTGTCAGAAGTGGCATACGAGCTTCACTGAGCTGTGCCACCGCCCCTCCACGTCCAGTTGTCTCCTAATAAAGTGCAGGTACTCCAAACTCTGTGCAGGAGTAGGAAGCAGCAGGTCAGATTTTGGCTGCTACTGGTGTTGTCCCTGCCTCTGAACAGAAATTCAGGGTGCTCCTACTGCATCAGAATGTTTTTACTTTTTTTTATTCCTCCCACCATCCAAAACAAGCAAAGATTACTAAATTATAGTAGTTATAGTCTGATGCTGAAGATGTACTAATACAGAAACTGCAAGGTCAATATGAAAGAATGAATCAATGAAGAATCAAGAGAAAGGAATGAAGAAGTGGAACTATTTGGACTGCATATGAAATACTGCATTTAGTTCCATTCTATTTATTAAGAAAAATACTGACAGCCTGAAAGCGGTAAAACAGCAGCAAATCTGATGGGAAAAAAATGAACCTATGAAAAAGATAAGGTGTTCCTAAATTTTAAATTTTGCATATTCAGTATTAAAGGATCAAGACATTAAAAACCCTTTGCAAATATATGAAACAGGAGACTGAGGAGGATTTAAGATAAGAACAACTTTAAGGGATGAGATGAACTGTTGATGAGAAAATATACAGGAATTATTGAGAAAGCTCTACAATAGCAAAATTCACGAAGCTGCACAATGAGAAATTCAACATCCTTGTACTGTAATTACTATTTGTGATTCATAATGATCTGAGAGCTGAACTTTTCAAATTTGTATCAAGTACTTTATACTTATTTTAACTAAATACTAGGAGTATTTCAGTCACGATCTACCGAATGTAAGAGAAATTCAAAGGAATCCAGCAGATGAGCATGTAAAGGAGACACAATGACAGTGATGAAGCACCTTGTAATGTACCCACAGATCTTTTCTATAAATCCAATCTGAAATTTGAAGACTAAAATAGCTCTTTTATCTCCATACCCTGACACATTCATTTCCATCATTTTAAAGAACAGAGCTCCCTCTCGTGGTTCCAGAAGGTGGATTTGGTGGTAGTGGGTAGTGGGGGGGGGGAAGAAAGGAAGGGGGGGTGGAAATGTACAGAGCACCATGAGACAGATCAGAGACCAGAGTGAGAGGACTCCTGACTGCATTTTGGTCATACAGAAGTGGAATTGAAAGGAAGATGTAGTAGGAAGGACAGGTGACTTCTTTTAAAGAAAACAATGTCACCTGTACTTTAATGCTAACTTTTAAATTACATTCTCTGTTAATGTAAATTCCCCTGCCAGGCCTTTTTGTACCTGAGCATATTCCTTCAGTGTAAAGCATTCGGGTCTCAAGAGGTTTCCAGCTCAGTCACAGACGAGGCACAGGAAGAGGAAAGAGTCAGGACCAGAAATGTAGCACCTGTGCAGTGGTGCAGGCACAGTAAACCAGCTAGCACCCTACAGATTTTCCTCAGCACTGAGACCACACAGAGGAAAAAAAAATCACTGGCTTCAAAAAGTCAGGGAATATATGCATAGTTACACGAGTAAGAAGCATATATATATTGAAACACTGCAACCAACAAAAGCACCTGAGGAAAGAAAAATCACATTTCTTTAGACCACTCTGACAACTCAGTCCTGCCACTTTCACAGAAACTTCTGTTCAAGCTCCAGCATTGCTCTCCTCCTGCAAGCCCACATTTCTTGCATCAACTATTCAAAAAGGGAGGACAGAGCAACACATGAATGAGCAAACACGCTGGTGCAACAGCATTACCCAGCACCGTCTAGTTTCTGCTGAGTCCTGGGGACAGGCTTATGCAGGGACAGCAATGAGAAGAAACATGCTCACATGCATTCATTCCTCAGCTCAGGGGAAGAGCAGTGCTGCAAACCATTCTTTGCTTATTATACAGCTTCTTTGAAAAATTAAATAAAAAAAAAAAACCCTAACAGATTATTCCACTTTGCTGGCTGACAGCTTTGTAACCTGAAGGTCACACCTGTGATGATAAATGTTTCTCTGAGGCAAGAAAGCGAAGGGAGTACCCAAAGCTAAGCTTGTCGCCATGCATGAGAAGTCTTTTTATGAACAGAAGCTCTATCCATAAAATTTCAGGAAAGTGTTGGGTGTGGGGGGGTTTTGTGTGGTTGTTTTGGGTTTTCTTCCTCATTGTTTAATTAATAGTTCCACACTACACTGCTGGACTCTTTCTTCATTCAAGATCATACATGGATTCTTTTAAAATTATTTTATTTCTGCATGAGAATTCTACACTGGACAAGAATTTACATGGCATGCAGCTAGCTTTTGCTAACTGCACTACACAGCATATAAAACTATTTTCCCCGAAGGCATTATAAAGGGTTTCCTCTAAATGACGCTATTTCTTTGCTGCAAAACCAGGATCAACACCATGAAACATGAACGACTGGAGAAAAAACAATTACTCGTAAGTCTCCAGAACAGCCTCAGAAGACAACTGAAAATCAAATTCTTGATCCATAGGCTTGTGCTCACACAAGATTTTTCTTCCAAAGCACAAGACCAAAAATGAATCAATTTCCTACTATGAAAAGAAATTACCATGCCTTCAGCATTTTGCTATTAGTGAAGTATCTCCAGTCAAAGGCAATACTTTTTCTGAAGAGCAATCCTCTTTAAAAATTGTATAAAAATCAGTCTATAAACAGGGAGATATCCCTAAATATTCAATCAAGTAATAAACCTGGTAAATGAAAGAGATTAATTAAAATGACAGTACATTCTCTCTACAACACACACATACAGGACTTACAAATACACTTGTTATGTTGGAGTACCTAATCATAATCAGATTTGGTTATTTGCTGCATCGAAACAAAAAGGAAACATTTTTAGAATTGATCATGCAGTTCATGTCACTTTCATGGAGATTACTTTGTATTGATCAACATTTAAATAGTAGTTGAAAAGAGAAAGATGAGAAAAGGATAAAAAGTATCTTTACATGCTAAATACAGCATGAACCAATAAAAGCAAAATAAATTAGATCACTACAGCCAAACCAAGCCTGTGCATGCGCTCACTGTAATGAAGATAATTATGAATGAAAGAGATGGTTCTTCATCTTTCAGTCATAACAAAAGGAGAGTTTAAAAAATGAATTTGGACTTTAATCTGCTCAAAATGAAGTTTGCCATGCAGCAATTAAAATCTGTGCGAAGCTGAACAGTTGTCAGCTTCACAAAGACAAATGTTGGTTCGTTTTCTGAACAGTATTTTCATGTTTCCTACCTGTGGATTCCAACTGGGGTCTAGTTTTTTCACTGTAGCAACATACTCCTGCATAGCTTGATGAGGGCTGGTATCTCCCAGGGCTTTCCAAGCCTCCCTAGCAGAGAGAGAGCAAAACATCAGCAAGCCACTCGGAGACAGGACAATGTGTTTTTATAGTGTCATCAGTGGAACGCAGAGAACAGATTCATCTAAATATTTTCATGGGGTGCAATGCCATCTTTCATTTGGTTTGAAACGGTCAGCTTTTCTCTGAAGCCATGAATGGCCACTGTCAGTACAGCACTCCCCTGTGAAAGGATCTTTCAGGGGATCCTGATCCAGGCTGTAACACAGTTTGTGTTCACAAAGTAAAGCAGTTTGCAAAGCTGTAGCTATTTTCACAAAATTTTTGTTGTATGCAGGCTAATTCTAGATGAACAGGGTAACTACAGGAGAGTCTGGTATTTCATGTCTGCATCAGGCAAAGCAGCAAACATTTTCCTACCAAACAAAGGATTTTAAAGACAGTTCAGTGGCAGACCCTCAGAGCTGACATCTTCTAGGTCCATAATCTGTCAACAGATGAGACAAGATGCAACAAAAAGTAGAGCCAGAAACTGCTAAGATTTACAAGGATTTCCTCTTACCATTTCTGCTTTCCCTCAAAATCAAAGAAGCTTGGCTTGGGAGTGTTACAGGTTCCAAATTTCACCTAAAGAAAAGAAATTTCTTTCCATTAGAACAAAGCAAAGGGAAGGGGACTTGCATAAACACATATCAGGTTCTGATGGTTTCAGAGTAATTTTGTTCTTGGAAAGGTTTCTGAGGGAAAGAACCGACACGATTCAACCCCATCTTACCCTCTTTTTAGCTCTCTCGCAGTTATTAGCACCTCTGCATCCCTGTGTTTTCTTTGCGTGATGCAAGGGAAGCAATTTTGTTATGCAGCTCATTTCTTTTGCATGCATTACCCAAAACAGGGATCACCAGCAAGTGATTTCTCACTTAATGTTATGTTTATTACCCAGCCAAATGCCTCGTCCTCCACCAGTATTAAGAAAAATTCTGTTGATTAGGGTTTCTACAGAGATGATTATTCATTAAGGCAGAAATTCACTCGCTTCCACACAAAGCTCAAGTAAACAGACTTTGCTTAATTATTTCCAAGGTCCTCTGGAAGGCAAGGGGACAAACTCAGAGCAGAAGAATGCCGAGCAGCTTCTGAATTTCCTCTGAGGCATCTGGCTGCAGAGGAAGCACTGTGTGAGAGACAAGTCAAGGCCTGAGTGCCAGAGGTGAACCAGTCTGCCAGAAGCAAGCCAGAAATTAAAACGTGGGGCGAGAAATAAGAACCACAAGGAAGCAAGGGAACTAGCCAGAATTGGTGAACAGATACACTGGATATAAGATTATTTTTTTTATATCATGTAAAATGGACTTGGTGCCAGTGGGATTCAGGCAGTTTTCCATAGGGTGGTGTGCTGATGGGACAGACACAAAGCCCTTCCTCTCGCTGCAGGGAAGTCTAGCAGCCCTATCTCCTCCAGAAGCTCGCCCACAAAGGGGAACACAGAGGATAGAGAGTTCTGCGCCTGCCCAGGGCTCCAAAGGCACAGCCACATTCCTGCAGTGAGGCCAGCGCTGACAATTGCCTCAAGAACAGAGCAATTAGCAGGTTGAGATTTAGGTAACAGAGGTATTTTCTTCCAAGTCAGCTCAGAAGAACGTATAAGTGAATGTGCCTCTGTCCCTGCCTGGAAAAGCCAGGGAATAATGGGTCAGGACCCACCAGATCTGGCTGCTATCGGCTCCCCTTTCTCGCAGAAAAGAAAGCCCCTCACACACAAGTGTCGCTGGTAAAATAACTCTAACTGAAAGGAAAATATCATTGTGATAGGGAATGAACTTACACAAAACGTGGGTTTGGGGTTTTTTTGTTTTGGTTTGTTTTTGTTTTTTTTTTTTTTTTTTTACTTTTTTTAAATGAAAGTGCTACTTATTCCACAGGGATGATGGACGAAAAACTGTAGAAGCCTGAGCACAACCACAGCTCCAAATGCAACAGCCCCTGGCAAGCAGTTATCACAGCAAACCCCTTAACACAGGGCACAGCCCAGTGCAAAGAAAGCCCAGGATGGATGGGGGGATTTAAACAGACCCCGGGGAGGGAACACAGGTATGTTCTGGAGGTGGGCAAAGGCTGCTGGTTGAACATTTTGTTAGCCAAGCAAAACTAAACTGCATTCATCAAATGTTTTATGAAATATGCTCAAGTGTTCAGGCAGGTGAAGTGCTTAAATCAACGAACAATTCTTCACCTTAACAGGGTGGGGATTTTATGCTGAGGATGGAATCATTAATCAGGCTTTAAAGAGAGCATGCCCATGCTGAGAGATATTTATTAGTTACACTATGTTTTCATTTAAAGTGTTAGAGGATATGAGTGACTATAACTGAAATTAATTTTCTGTACATCTGACTGTCTCCCGGTGAGCAATTCATTCAAATTAGAACATTTTAGCTGGCCTTTAAAACAACACATTGCATTTCACGGAGAAACAGGATAAAGGGCTAGCAACAGTTAAGTCTTATAATAAATCAGTCACAATTCACGTAGCGTAATTGTTTTCTCCTCCGCTCAGAGGTGGATTGGACCACTTGTTTTAGAAAGCAAAACAAACGTGGAAATAAAATGCAAATTCATTATCTGTATGGAAAATGCCTGCTTGGCAACTCTTTAGTTCAACATCTAACCTGCAAAAATTGGCCAAGTTAGATAAAAAAAAATGATCTGTTTTAATATTAATTTTCCACAGCCATCATCAAAACATGACAGCAGTTTCCTCTCTCTAGTTTTGGCATTCAAAGGCTGTTCTAGTGTCAGGAAAGACTGTTAGTAACATTGATAGTAACACAAATCAAGGAACAGTACTTAAATTTCATCCATCAAGAGGGGAAAAAAGTGCACTTGTTCCCTGCTTGCTATTTTAAGATACAATAAAAAGTCTTGCAGTGGTTTTGTTGAAAAGAAGAAAATAAAGGTTTTGGCTTCCCTCTTTTTGCTGCAAGACTCCATAATGCATCAGAAATCAACCAGGAATCTAACATTAGAGGGGACCCAAGCCTGACAGCTGAGGAAGGGGAATTTTAGCTAAATATGCCAATGCTGACAAATACCAGGGGGCAAGATTTTTGTGAAGAACTCTGTCTTCCTGCTACTTCCCTGGAGGGCCTCAAAAGCTGTTTTTCTACATAATCAGCAGAAAGACAAGAGCCTGTATTAGTATTTCAAGTCAAGAGTTTCTCATTCTGTGTCCACAAAATAATTACTGATGGTCTCCAGGGGGCTGACTGGTCACTTGATGCTTAGCTCTCCTCATTTACAGTTCATCAGCTGCATTAAAAAAAGAAGGCAGCCAGAATGCATTAAATACTTGCCTAGCATTGCTTCTGCACGCAGAGTCGCCTGCAAGCACTATACTCATGAATCGTAGAAAGATGACCCAGGCGGCTCCAAATGGGAAGTGACTGCAGACGTCTCCATTTGTGGCCAAAATGGAAATTTAGAAGCCTTGGATGAAGCCTTCACCTGAGAGCTGAAGGTCACAACATTCAGAAGAGTGCTTGGATAGACAGGTGCTCCCAGACATGTTAGCACTGCATGCCATCCCTACATAACTTCAGCTGCTGGTCCAGACTGTGTGAAACCTTGAGGTTCTCCTTACACATTACTCCACAACTGATTCCTTACCCTCCCTGCTGTGGTGGTAAAATAGCTCTTTGCTAATTTTTCAACTAATACATTTATACAGCAGGGAGTTCCAGCCAAATATTCTTACCTGATTGTAAATCTTGTAAGGTGAATCGTATTTGCAGCCTACAACTATGGAGGAGTAGCAAGAACAGAACTCCCCTCCATGGGCAGCAGGGCTAAGCTCTAACTCTATGCAGGCCAAGTAAGCTGAATTTCTTCGGCAACACAGGAATTTCTGCCTGTTCCTGCCCAAAGCTCTGCCCCATTAACCTGCCCCAACCCATGGGAAAGCCCTGCACTCAGCTGAAAGTGGGGCGTCAGGAAGAACAAGCAAACAACAATCACAGAAGGACACGGATAACACCAGGTCAGTGCCATCACACCGCTCCACACGACGGGAAGCCACAGGCGGAAACTCCCATGTTTGGGGCAGATTTGTGGCATCACGTTCTACAAATGGGATTATGTTCTTGAGCCTACACTCAGAGGCAGCACAAGCCCCGTTTTGCCAAAGGCACTGGGTTTCCAGCTTGCCTGCACCTCTCAGCATTTACTTAGGCCCTGGCACATGCTCCTGGAAGGGCAGGGTTTTTTTTTTCAATGCAATCTTTTCCAGCAAAGTTCTGGATTCCCTCCCCTCTCTGAATGATGACCACTATATTGGTCTCCATCACTAGTTTCTGAACCTCAGGTTTTTGCGTCCTCAACACAACAAGCAAGCACTATCTTTACTTCACCACTACAGACTCAAGGCACAGACAAGCAATTTGCCCAAAGCCACACAGAAAGTAGGGGGAGAAAAAGAAAATCAGTCCCAGTCCAGAGCCCTACCAACTAGTCTGTTCTTCCTCCTATTCTGGGGCAGAGTCGTAAACTCAGCAACATCTTCTAAAAACCTCACCGGAGATGACAACTAAGCAATTCCCTTATTTTCAAGCCTCTGACACATAAACAAAATCAGAGAGAGGAGTAATAAAATCCTGAAATGGCCTCCAATAAAAGGTAATAAAAATCCAGGAAAATGCCTATATACCCAAACAGTTTGAAATAAATAATATACAGTATTTTAACACAGAGCTCAGCTGTTACTGTCACCTCTTTTATGATGGTGCTGTATCTTAAATCAAAGACCACAGTGACATAAAACACTAAACTGAGGAAAGACAAGGATGCCAAATCAAGGACAGTGGACAGATCTGAGTCAGCACCTTTTGTGTGCTAGCAATACTACTGTCCACCAGAGTAATATATTAGCAGTCCATTATGCATACTGATACGGCTGCTATAATTAAATAGAGAAAACTTGCATTAAGCACCCTTGTTGTGATTTAAAGCCCAAAACGTTGCAAAACTCCAAGTTAGCAGAGGATAATCCTGCAGCAGCTGTGCTAGCAAACTTCTCCCATCTCCACCACCAGCAGTACCCTCCCAGGCACTCTGTAACAGGGATGGCACCTTTCTGGACAGCACTGGGCAGCCAAAGGCACGGAAACCCAGGAGCCAAGCACAGCCTGAAACCAAGGAGCACAAAGGCACTTGCTGTTGCATCCTGCTTGGCCAGGGACAAGAGAGACAGAGGGGAAGAGGACAGAAGTGCCCTGTTCCCCTCAGCTGAAGGCAACTGGAAATTTGTGCTGACACAGTGTTAATTATCAGCTTTTTCTGACTTGTATCAAAACTGTCATGAAATAGCTTCTGATTTAAGTAATTTTTAACATTAAACACCTTATTGGTCTTATAGAGCTCGCACAGGAAACCCTCTGAAGTCTGTTGACAATCACAAGCTGATATGGAAGTAATGCCTTCCCATCTCCACCTAGGACAGTTACAAAGCATTTGCAACAGAACGAAAAATAAGGTTATATGCAACACATCTCCTGAGAACACAGATAAAAAAAAGTGACAGAACACTCTTTGTCTCATCCTAGGCACAGTTTCGTTATTCTTAAAAGTTCTCCTACTATTTTTTTTTTTTACCCTCCTTTTTCTCAAAAAGGGAAAGAAATCTGGAAACCTATTCAAGCACTAGAAAAATCTGAAAACAAAACCTCATGTGACCACTCTGCTTTTAATACAATCCGTGGTCCCCAAACCACAGCCTAGGAGCCACCAGCTCAGACGATAATTAAATATTGCATTAAAAAATGAAAGCACTTATAAGTGGCAGTAGCAGGACAAAGGTATTCTATACGGGAGGAAAATCATGGGGAAGATGTGCACACCCACGTTTGACTATTAGTCCAAATGGGTGGGATTCAGTTTTCAAGTCAAGGCAGCATCTCTTGCTACACACTTGAGTCATATTTGTTCTTTTACTCATCAGTCTTCCAGGTGTAACAACACTTACAATCTTTCTGTTTCTCCAGGTTAGGTGATTATTACAGTCCTTTGTATCTTAACTGGTGCTTTTTTGTTTGTTTTAAGTAACCTCTCCCACAGGAGCAGGAAAAAGTCACATTGTGTATTTCCATAGGATGCATCCCACACTTGCTCAACCCACAGGGACTGAACAGGACAAGGAGTAATGTTCAACGTTATAACTAGGACCAACCAGTTCAGTTCCCCAGTCCACTCTAAAGCCCTCCACAGACAGATCTGCACAGGCACGTCCTTCGCGTGGCGGCATCAACACCCCAAAGATTTAATGCTCGCACCCGGGTCATCAGTGCAGACCCCCGGTGTCTGCAGTGACGGAGGGGAGCACCAGCGCTGGCCGTGCGCTACAAACCATTCAACCGCCGTCCCCAAGCTGGGGCGGGGGCCCCATCACCCAGCACAGCCCGGCAAGCACAGGCGAGGCAGCCCTGGTCCCCCAGGCTGGCTACCCGGCACTGGGACAGGCCACCAACCCGGCACAGCCGACGGCAAAGGGGCCAAACCCTCCACGCCGACACCCGAGCTCACCCCGCCAAACCGGGGCCGGGGGGGGGGGGAGGCGGGGAGCCCCGGCCGGCGGGATGAAGTCACCCGCGCTCTGCCCGGCCACGCTTCGCCGACCTTCCCCAGCGGGGCCCAACTTCGTGCTGCCCGCAAAGCTTCCCCGCGCCCCTCCCCGACACCACTTTTTGGCATCGTCAGGTTTTGCGAGGCGGCCACGCAAGGCCCTCGGCTAGCGGAGGGCCCCGGGCCCGGCCGCCCCGCTGCCGCCTCACCTGCTTGTAACGGGCGTACAGGTAGAGCAGCTGCTCCTTGCTGGCGGCGGGCAGCAGCGCCGGCAGCCGCTCGGCCGCTTGCTCGAAGAGGGAGGCCAGGTCGCGGCCCGGAGCTGCCGGCCCCGTCTCCTCGGATCCCGAGCTCGCCTCGCCGCCGCTCCTGCTCGCCACCGCCGCCGCCGCCGCCGCCAGCGGGGGCGACGCCATGGCGGCCCGCCGCCCGCCCAGGTCCGCCCGCCGCGCCGGTCCCCCCCTTTCACGCCTCGGTACGAGCGGCCGGGCCGCCCGCGGGGAAACGCGCGCCGCGACCGAGGGTTCCGGCGCGGCCGCGGGGCCCGGGGGCGGCATGTCGGCGGGCGGGGGATGGCGTCCCCTGAGCCCGGCTTTGCGACCCCCCCGCCCGCGGCGCCGCTGATGGTGCCGATTAAACAGAAACACCCGGGGGGGGTGTGTGGGGGTGTGTGTGTGCTGCCCGCACCCTCAAACTTTTTAGAACCTTTGCCAAACGTGAGCGCATCACCACCCTCCGAGCACCCCACGCCCCAAAACCCCGCGTCGCGCTCGGCCGAGCCCCGCGTTCCCCGTGGTCCCGGGGGCCGGTGCCCCGGCTGCCGCCCGGTGGGGACCCGCCGCGGCCCCCGCTGCCGCTGGAGGGCACTCGCAGGCCGCCCGCGGCTCCGGGCCGGGCGGGAGCGGGGAGGTGGGGGGGTGGGACGGAACCCCCCGGCTCTCGGCGGGTGGGGGATGGCAGCCAGCATCCTCCCGGGATTGGGGTGCTGGGTGCCGGCCCTGCCCGCCGCCCTGGGGGTCCCGGCCGAGCGCCAGCCCAAAGGCGGTTTATATGTTTATATTTAGCCCGGTATCTACTTCGGGCGGAAAGTTTCTCTCTCTCCCCCCCCCCCCCCCCCCCCCTTTCCCTGGCACAGCTGTCGAGTCCATCTCCCTCCTCCACCCCCGGCCTCAGCAAATGGCAGCCCTCAGTCCCCTGGGGAAACCTTGGCCACCCCGGCAGCTCCCCGACCCGCTCCTCCTCCAGCTGCCTTGGCCGGGGCACGCTGCTCCCCCCCGCCCGCTGCGTCGCGTGTGGGGGGGTGTGGGGTGTGCTGCCCCGCGGCGTGACCCCATCTTACGGGTGGGCACACTTGAGGCGAGGAGGGGCAAGCAGCAAGCTGGGGTTTCAGAAGTCCCTCGTCTCGCTCCGAAGCGGTGGGTGTTGGATGTGCTCTCATTCCCCCCCACCCCGAGGCGCGAGGATGAGGATGGAGGTGCATCCCGCGTGTGACGTGGTCCATCCACCCAGCTCCCAGCCACATTCCAGATGCTTACGGACTCACTCGTGCAGCCCCTGAGCCATGCGCGCACCCGTCATTCTGTCTTGGGGCTTGCAGGGGGAAACGCAGGAGCTGTGGAAAAAAGACCTTCCTTCAGAGCCAGAAATAAGATGGCTTTTATTCTCTTACTCCCTTCACAGCCTCACTAGGTGTGGGAGGTTTTACTCAGGGGGGGAAAATACCCCAACACAGCCAGGGCAGCAAGCTGGAACATCACTGGAGAATCTGGAAATGGCCCTGTAGGACCACCACCACTTTCCCACCGGGCCACCGAGCCATGGCAACGTCCCCGTCCCTGCGCTGTGCGTACAAGAAGGGGGTCAGGGCCCAACCACGGGAGCGTAGTTACACCATAGCCCTGCAGGGATCCGGAGGGGACCTCTGCATCCCAGCCCGTGTGAGAGGGGTGGTGGGGCCACAGAGTTCCAGGGCGGAGATGGGCTCGGCTGTGCCGGAGCCGGGAGCGTACCTGTGAGCGCCTGCTCTGCCCCGAGCTGCCCGCTGAGGGGACAAAGGCTGCCCTGCCAGCAGGTCTGTGACCCCCACAACCTCCTTGCATGTGCAGGGGGGGACAAAGCCCCAGTTCGAACCATTAAGCAGGGAGGAGGCGGAAACAGCTTGATTCTGACGCCTGCAAATAAAAAAAAAAATAATAACTCCTCTCCGGTGTGTGATTAACGCCCAGCCCCACGTAACAGACCGCAATATTTACAGTGAACTCATCCTCCCCGCTGCTCTCCACCAGAAACCATTCGGCTCCATCCAGCTGGCTGTGTCACCCCGACCATCCCCGCTCGCCCTGGGGAAGCATTGCCTGGTCGGAGCCTGCCGGCATTCAGCAAGGCACAGGCAGCCGGGCAGGCTGGTGGGATGAAACCCTCTTTGAATAGCTTGGAAAAAGTACTTGCAGCAAATGAACTGAAGCGCACAGCCTCCGCACGCTCCCCGGCTTGTCTCCATGGTGAGAGAGGCCTTGCTACCTTGCTGGGTTTCTTTGCTAGAGCACTTACAGCTCCTGCTAGATATCTCTCACTTTTTCCTTGCCTTTTTTCTAAAGAGCGACTGCACCGAGGGCCTGATCCTTCCTTCCACCCCCTCGCTTTGGCAGGCGTGGGAGCAGGTTTGATGCAAGGCAACCCGTGAAGGTTTTAGGAGCCTGGCATGGAACCACTGAGGATGGGGATGCTGGGCTCAGACACGCTGTGCCTGCTCTGCGGGATGATGTTTAGTTAGTTTCTGGTCCCCAGCAGCCTGGGAGAGGGCAGGATGGGGGCACGGGGGACGCCCGTGCTGATGTCCTTCTACTGGCTGGGAGAGCCCCAGTCATCCCAGTATGAGCCAGGCCAAATTCTGCCCGTTCTCCCAGCCCCTGGCTGCAGAGTGCACAAAACCAGAAACATTATGGGCACAGAGTGTGCAAGGAGCAGAAGGACTTGATGCCTCAAACATTTCTTGGCACAGAAAGCCTCAAGGACAAGTTGTGGCCTTTGTGATTAGTCTAAGGAACGCTGCCCAGGGAAGTGCAGAGTGTATGAACGGCTCCACTTCCCTGCTGCTGTAGTGCCAAATTCCTTAGATAAGTCTCAAAGAAGACTATATGTTCAGGCCAAAAAGACTGATAAGCTAAAGACTGAACAATTACACAAGAAGAAAAAAAATGAGGAAGAAGGTGGTCGGGGGAAGCACAACCACCTAATCTCTCATGGAAATGAGTTTATGGAATACCTACCCCTCTTTGTCTAGTATTCCCATCAGCTGATAAGATGAACTTAAAAGGTGACAGAAAACTTTATGTGTGCACCCACCACTCAAGATTTCCAGACCTGAGACAACGCTGGAACCTGGGGTGGTGAACCAGACTCTTTTCCTCTCATTTCCTTTTCTTTTCTTTTTTTTTTGTCTTTCTTATAAATTTACCAATAAGAGATCACATTGCTTACTATCCTTTTCCAAGTTTAAGTTGTTTCTATCACAAGTAAAACATTTTAACAAGTTGTTTGGTGTTGTTTCACCTTAATTTAACCCGAGGGGATCACAGGACATTTACGACTCCCTGGGCTCCCAGTCTGGGTCATAACAGTGGTAAAAAAAATCATGCAGGGCCCTTGTACAAGCTGTATGTGTGGGTCAGCCCCAGTTCCTGTGCTGGGATTGCAGAGACACAATAACAGGCTGTGAGCAGCAGTGCCGAGCAGAGAAAAAATATCCTTGTATAATTATCATATCCATCCTGCCGGTCAGCCTGGAGACCTGTCATTGTCCTTCTGCAGAGGGCAGAGGCCGCTGCACACACCAAGCCCCAGTCAGCCTGAAAGGAAGATCTGAAGGGATCCCTGTGAGCTAAGCCATGATTACTTGGGCTTTTCTTTTTTTTTTTTTTCCCACAACAAAAGGAGAAAGAAGCAATTAAGAGCTGGTTTGTTCGCGGCCGTGCATTTTACTGCGGGAAACACCTGCCTACAGAGGAGGAGCAGGCTGCAGGCTGGGAATGTGTGTTCCCTCCCAAGGGTGAGGGGCTCGGGGAGCGGGGGGAGCTTGGGCACGCTCCCCTCCCATGGCACAGCCCCCAGCATGCCTCCACCCGGCGTGTGTCACCTCTGCTACGGGCAGAGCCATGCCTCCGGTCAAGAAATGTCCCCTCCTGTCTCCTGAACTCCTCCAGGCTACCCATTGCGTGTATCCTCATCCCACCGACCTTGTCTCCTACTCCCTCATCGCTTCTTCCTGGGAGATGGGCACCCCAGGGGCTACCACCTCTTGTATCTATTCCATATCCTGCACCAAGAAGGTCCTTTCACTGCTCTGGTGGCTTCCCAAACCCCATGTCCCTCATGCAGAAAGCAGACCTCAGAGTGCAGCCACCTCCCCACGTTGAGCTGAACCATCATCTTTCCCTGCCTGGACCAGCAGCAGGAGGGCTTGCCTGGGGCTCAGGCTGGAGCAGTGCCTGGCAGCTTGCGCCTGTCTCCAGCTGTGATTTCCAGCTGGAATATGGATATTTTACATGTATCACTACACATGATACACGGCACGGCACCCAGCTCGCCTTTGACCTTGCAGTGGGAGAAGGAGGAGGGGAGATGACCACTTTCAGCAGAAAATGTAAAAAGACTTTGCTCTTTTTTCACCCTGTGCATGTGTCCCCTGTTAGCAAGGCAGAGCAAACGCGCACCCTGCTCAATATGTTTGGGAGCTGGCAGGTGCCGTAGCAGCCAGGAGCCCACAGCGTGGCTGTGAGAGCCGTACCCGCCCTGTCCCTGACAAGGGAAGTGATTTCCATGAAATGGAATCACAGGCAACGGGAAACCAAAATTCAATACTGGTCAGGGAAGAAGCTGTATAAAGGGCTGAGGTCTCTGCCCTGGCATAAGCAAGGTCTCCCTCACATGCATCACCTCTGTGGAGTTCAGCTCCATTGCACACTTTACCTTCACATATTATACCACTGGGGCCATTTGTTTGTGTATAATAAAGGGGGTCTGGGAGAAAAGCATGTAATTATCACATCCATCATATAAGTTTTTTAGATATCAATAAAACATCAATTTTCTCCTTCCTGTGCCGTGGTGAATATAAATCAGTAGCTGTGACAGAAAACGAATGCATAACCCACCTCAAAGATGCATAAATCTCCCCTCTCCCTGGCATATTTTTAAACCTCTTAAGCACTGATGGAGAAACTCCTCTGCCAGGTGCCAAGCTCTGCTCCCCAGGCGTGCCTGAGGCTTTGCTGGGCAGCGCAAGCAGCGGGCTGGGCCGATATCAACAATAATGTGGTTGCAAAACTGCAGCTGGCTATCGGTTCAAAGGTTGCAGCTGGAGCTGTGCAAATAGTGAATCTTTCTGTGGAGGGGGATATCTTACCACTAAGTCTTTTCAGGTATTTTCTTTTCTAAATTCAAATAAAAAAAACATGAGGAGAAATTTCAATTTATTTGACCTAGAGTGTTTTGCTTGGTGTGAAGCAAACACACAAAGCTTCATTTCTGTTTTACTTAGACTCCTCCATCCATCCCCTTTGCCATCTTTTTTCATGCATGTTCAAAAACTGCAGCAGAGCCCTTGGTTTTGAAACAAAACCTTAGGAATTCTTCATTGAAAATAGCAAGATAAAAAGTCACTTCTTGAAGTTGGGGGTGGGGTGTTGGTTTTTTTTTTTTGTTTGTTTTTGGTTTTGGTTTGGTTTGGTTTGGTTTTTTTACCCTAAGTTAATTATGAAATTTAGCTCATTTTCAGATGTTTTGATTCCCCTTGAGCTGCATTAAGAAGACAGAGCTGAGGTGCTCAGCAGGAAAGCCCCGCTGAGGTTTGGCTGCCACAGGGCTGCTGCTTCCTCCACGCTCCCCTGCCCCTTGCCAGCTCCCCCTTGTCTCACATCTCTGTGCAGCAGCAGACAGCGAGTAATGGCTCCGTTTGTCACTGGCCTGTCACTGCAAGGCCACAGATGTCCCTCGTTTTGCTCTCCATCTCTCCCAGACAAGGTCTACTACCCACCCATCCCCTGCTCGCACCGCGCCTGGCTCTGCATCCCTCGGGTGTTGCACCGGGCACAGGTTCCCAGCTCCCAAATCCCCTGGCAGCTCCCCAGCCGCTGTGACATCTCACAGGCAGGAGATCTAGACCATAGTGTTGGCAAGATGTGTCCGGCAGTGACCCACCGGGGATGCTGCCCTCACCTGCAGCCCACTTTGGGGTTATCTGGGGCCACCAGCAGCACTTCTCCCTGGCGAGTGCTTGGACCTGCTGTCTCTGCAAAGCCCCAGGGCAATCCCCTGTCCTGCCCACGGAGGTGAGCACCAGCTGATGTGTTCAATGGGTTCTCCTTACTGGGGAGCATCCTGCATCCCTCCCCAGACCCTCCTTGCTGGGGGTTACTCCCCATCCTACATTCCTTCCTGAAACCCTGCCTGAGCACTGCAACAAGGTGCACCAGCGAGGGGATGCAGCTCCAGAAAAACTGCTCCTGACCCCTTCCCCGCTCTCGCCCAGCAAAGAGGGGCTGAAGGGAGTGCCTGTAATTGCAGCTGTCAGCAGTAACAATCACGGCGCTGCCGTTATAAATGGCTCCAGCCTGACTTTTACTTACAGATTTCCCTCACGTGATGCTACAAGCCGTGCAAGGGAAAACCTGCACCGCAGAAAAGCAATTGCACCTTCCAGCTCTGGGAAAGGAGATTTATGGTTTGTTTTGGCCATAAAATAAAGCGGGCGGGGTTCGGGTTACAGATCAGAGTGTTTTGACCGGGCAGGCTGGGGTGGTTTGGAGGAAGGGGACACACGGTGTCCCCTCCACATCACCCTGCCGGGGATGAGCCTGAGCATCAGAGCCCCTGCCCCTTCCCATTCGGTGGTCCCTGTTAGCAAGGAAGCGGTTTAGACTAATTCCTGCCAGACATATAACATCACAGTGATGTCTGGAGCCAGAGAGGAACTGTGGAGGATGGGGGTCTTGGGCTGTAGGAGTGACCCTTGCCAAAGCTGCTGGCATTGATCAGAGGCACCGAGAAATCCTGGGGGGTTTCTGCATACATGCAGTTTGCAGCACTGGGACTATTTTCTACAGTGAGGACAAAGCCAGGCTGCATCAGGTCCGCGGCTGGCACTGGAGACCAGAGCTGTTGTTTTCCGAGGAGCTGGCTGGGAGCAGAAGTGGAGTCCCCAGCTCGAACTCAGCCCAGCCGCTCCCCAGCCCATGGCCGGGCCAGGAACCTCACTGCCGTGCTGCCTCTCGCTCTTTGCCCCCGTGGCAGAAGGGCTTTTGGGATGTCTCCCCACTTGCTTTAAACGATTCTTTGCAATCTGACATCTGTCCTGAGGCTGCAGGGTCTCGAGCCGGGTGTTATGGCACCTACGGATGGTTCACACTCAGCCCTG